TCTCCAAGTTGCCTGAACGAAAAGAAAGGGTCATAAGAACATTATTTTGTTTCCTATAAAAAATCATGATCTAGTAATATCAAGTTATTCAGACCCAGATTTTTAAAAAAAGGTAATATCAAGTTATGAGAAGTAAAGGCCGGCCCTAGTAACAGAGCACCAGCCATAAAATAAAAGAAGAATGAACTTGAGGTGCATGGGAAAAGTGGTCCAATAATAAATATCTTCCACTGCCCTGCTAACAAAGAGTGTTACTTTAGTGACAAATGGGCAATGACCAGAAAGGACACATCTCTGTGTTTTGACCAATCCCATCTAGCCTACCCTAACAGCTAGTTGGGCATGAACTAATCTACACACTTTCGATTGCTGGTTCTTATTATGCGTGCTGAAAGACTGATCACACAAGCATACAAAATATAATGCCACAAAATGGAGGAGTTCATATAAGGTAACTGTTGACAGAATTTATATTCCCTGCATGATAAAAATAGGAATGGCATATTTGGTTTAGGATTTTACCTTGGCTTAACAAGATATACAACTGTGAAAGCCATGGCCAGAAAGAAGCACAATCCACCAACAGTAAGATAAGCAATGCCAAGGAAGTCATTCCTGCCACCAATCCAACTAGTGGTAGAAAGCACAAGCTTCTTTTTTCCATTAAAACTGTATGTGTTGTAATTGTTGTCCAACGTCACGTGTAATTCATCACCTGCTTCCAGATCCACCTCAATCTTCCCATACAACTTTCTAAATGTTGGCAGTGCAGCAGTTCTCATCCAAACAATAAGGTCCTCTTGCTCACTTAACTGTTCAACAAAACATATTGACCTGGTTAACCACTTTCCTTTTTTACCATTAAAATAATACATCTTCAGCAAAACAATATCCTTCCATGTCATACAAGACATTTTTCCTTATTTCTGACACAGTAAAAAAAACACTTTATTGGGGTTCAGAGTCTTCAAAGATGCATAAGAGCAATAGTAACACTTCAAAACTAGAGATGAGAAGTGGCAAATTGCTTACTGGTTTGGATGCATTGAGAGTCGCACCACCTTGAAGAGTTCCATTCTGAAAGTTCTTTGGAAAGACTTTTTTGCCAAACTTGTGATCCCTATCACTCTTCCATGAGATATCCTTCTTGTTCACCGTCAATGGCTCCGTCGATTGCTGCTTCTTGTGTGAAAAACTATAGGTGTCGTTGAACAAACTCCAAGCTATGAGACCACAAGGCACAACAGGTTGACCACCTGCCTTATCTTCAGGCTTACAAGCATCCACTTCATTTTCAGACTTTGGATCTCTCAACTGTTGATCGCTTCGGCTTTTAACATACCTGAAATGTAGAAAGCCACAGTCAGACCAGATATTTTCTTTTTGCCAAATGAAGATCTCATACTTGATAATATATATTTCCACACAAAGCTAATTGTATCAACTTTCTACCAGGAAACATCCATTGTAGTTGCAGAGTGAAATTAATCAAGAATGAGAGAGACCCTAGGCTTTGCTGGCAGCAGAAGCTTGAATTACATGAACAATTATTCACAGAATGCACATGCCTTAAACCAGATACTCATTTTTTATTAGCCAAATTATTCCAATCCATAAGTCTGCAAATTCACACTCATTTACATACACCTTCAGTTTTTTCCTATCAGGAACAGGTTTTAAATAAGACTTGTAACTGACTAAGTTTTTATTCTATTTTGTAGGAGACCAAGTACCTGACTTAAGGTCCTATATAAAGAACCCAATATCTTCACTAGACTGCACAACAACCATAAAAATAAAAGGTCCCAGAATTACCTATGAAACAAGTGGGTGCTATTCACATTCATTTACATACACTTTCAGTTTTTCCTATTAGGAACACGCTTTTAATAAGACTTGTAACTGACTAAGTTTTTATTCTATTTTGTAGGAGACCAAGTTCCTGACTTAAGGTCCTATATAAAGGACCCAATATCTTCACTAGACTGTACAACTATATAAGACTTGTAACTGACTAAGTTTTTATTCTATTTTGTAGGAGACCAAGTTCCTGACTTAAGGTCCTATATAAAGGACCCAACATCTTCACTAGACTGTACAACTATAAAAAATAAAAATAAAACATGTCCCAGAATTACCCATGAAACAAATGGGTGGTACTCTTGACTATAAGTCATTAACTGCTACAAGAGCTTCCATGGACCCTGCTCTACCCACCGTCCTGCTCATATATGGCCCATGAATATCAAGGTCCCTATAAAACTATGATAAAAGTTGGCGATGCATTTAATTCAACCACCCCTTTCATTGATTTTCCACATAAATATTATTGCATCAACCATATTAAATATAAACGGAGGGTTATGGCTAAGCAGTAGACATACCTGCGATGGTTCTGGTAGAAATTATCCAGCTGGTAATATACAAATATAGGCTTCTTCATATTCTTAGTTACCTTCACGAGGGAAAAAAATATCCATCAGCAAATATGGGAATTGAGTTTCCAGTGCTAATAAAAAAAATTATCTAAATGCAAATAATACTGCATAGTTTCTAGAGATGTCTTGGTAGCTCAACAATGATTACCCACCAATTACAGTCCCTTGATGATAATTATAAAGGAAGGGGGGAGGGGGAAGGAGAACCTTACCTTCAGAGTTCTGTTGCATTTTTTATCTCCGACGCGTTGTATGTACCCGACCTTATCGCTTCTAAAGGGCAATGGTATGCAATCAGTTTCGTACCGATCAATAATTTCAACAACCTGATAGAAACATTTTCCTGATCAACTGCATGTAGAACTAGAAAAGAATAAACAAATTATGCATAGAATTGGGTTTCATTTAGCCATACATCTCGAGAAGCAAAGAGGGAAACAACTCCGATGGGAATGAAGACAATGCTTACAAGCATGAATGCTGAGATCACCTGCAAGCACAAGCGTGTACACACATAAAGAGATAAGGCCATAGCTCAATTTAAATTTTAACAGGTATGCGGATACCGTAGCTAAGGGGATATCAGGAACAATAGTATAAAATGTACCCATCGTGGCGTAAGAATTGGCTTGCACGCTGGAAGTTCCTGCTGAGTAAATCTTGAATCTGAAAAGATCAAATTTTATAATCTCTTTAGTTTATGATTGATAGAAAGGCTACTGAGCAACATGTGAATTACAGTTTGAAGGCATGAAGTTGGCTTTTCAATGCCCAGCTACACCGTATCAAGTGATAAACAGGAAAAATAATGGGAAAACGTCTTGTACATATCAGTATGTCAGCTTTAGGCGGACCCAGATTTCACAAATTGGCTGAAAGCATTAAGTGTGTGGCACGCCCGTCTATTTTGCCAAATGTTAGTACACCGGACCGCATCCTAATTCTCCAATGTTTGATACCCTTAGATTACCATCACAAGACTTTCATCCCACAATTGAATTACAAAAAGATTTCCAACACTAGTTACCATGCCTTACAAATTTGATTAAAGTCAAAGTAATTGGAATGGTATGGATTCCTAAGTATTCATTATCTATGTTAGGCCACCTGATATTTTATGCATACAAGCTTTAATGCCTCTAAATATTAAAAATAAAATAAAAAATTATAAAATCAGAAGAGTTATTTGTTTCGATGTTTAACTGAGTCTTCTTAATTTTGCTTTCGAATTAATGAACACAGCCTAGTTTTCAGACTTTTGATACAAACAATACTGGGGGAAGGAGGTATTTAACCTAGGACCTCCGGTGTAGTGTAGGGGTAAATGCTTTTAATCACATGAGCTACAAGCCCCTTTCATGAACACAGCCTGGTTTTCAGATTTGCTCTCACAAATTTAATGAACTATCTCAGGTACATCATTGACTTCTGAAATCTTATGAAACTAACTCAGCAAATAAATATCAGACAGGAACATATACGAGAAACAGAAAGAAATTTAAAGAATAAAAATATTAAATTAGAAACAAAAAACATGTAAATCAGATAACTGGAAAGCGAAACTAGCAAACCCACAGGCAAATATCCACAAAGTATCATCTGGGTATTCTAGAGAAGAACTCAAAACCTTAAAAGAAAACAAAAGCTGAGGGCTTTGGGAGGAAATTACATTTGGGTCGCTTGGAATGCCTCCTGGTAGATGTTGGATCGGCACAGATCCGGCGCCTCCCGAGCTAGACGGCGCCGTATTGGAACTCATCAGAGACAAACCCTGTCTTCCCCAGCAAAGATTTTAAAGTTTTTTGTTTTTAAAATTTTAAAATTTTTATAAAAAAAAACCCCACTCGACCTGTAAGAAAGAAATGAAGGATTGGGTATGTATATGATCAAAGAGACGAACAGATGGAGAATTGGGTAAGGGGTTGTGTTTCTTTTTGGTTGATTTTCTGTGTAAATTGGTATTGGCGTAAACAGGGTTGGGTGGGTTTTGAGCTTTTGAAGATTTGGATTGTATTGACTTTTTTAGAGAGAGGGTTTGGAAGAAAGTGCCTCCTTTCGTTCCCTCTCTACAAGGTGGCTGGCCGGCGACCCTCTCTCTCTCTTTTCTCTAGAAGAAAGAAGACTAGAATAAGAATATTTTCAGAGAGAGAGAAACAAAGACCATTGAAATGTCAAACTAATACAATTTTACACGCTTACGAGACCTGTCCAATCTTTTGCCTTTTGTTTTTGCGTTAATTACCATATTTTATAATTTGCTAATATTTGCAAATATGATATATTTGCTAATATAATTTCCTTATGTTTCAAAAAAATAATTTGCTAATACTAATATTTGGTTTTTATTATAGAACATAAAAGCAAAAAAAAATTCTGACTTTTTTTTTTTAATCAAATGATTTATTATTGTATCAAAATCAATAATTAAATCAAATATGATAAGAATATGGTAAGGTTTGAAATAAAGATTTTTGTTGGACTTTAAAAATTATGCTTATAAAATTTATTTTGATGGTTCTGTTTTAGCTAATGGAAATTATGCTGTATGTTTTGTTATTAGAAATGGAGAAGTTAAACCAGTTATTGCATAATCATGTCCACTGGGTCTTACAAGTTGAGGCAATAGCTTTCAAGCAAGCTTTGTTGTGGCCTAATCGTTTGAAGATTTTGAAGGTGGAAATTGAGGGAGATTTTAAAAAATTTATACATATCATTACAAAACGAGCCAATCCACCATGAAATTTACTATCAATTGCAAAAGACATTTGGCAAGTGACTATTGCTCATATTTATAGAGAGGCTAATATGGTTGTTGACCAGTTAAAGGACACAGTTATAACAACTCTTATATTTGGTTTAGTCATTTCCATATGAATGTTCTTACAAGAGTTTATTTTCACTTATATGGTATTAAGATCCAAAAGGGATCTAGCTTTTAATGTATTTCAGATTTCAAAATAGCTTCTTACTTGAGATCACTGATTTGTATGTCAAGACCCTTTTATATTAGGCTAGACCTCATCGACTTTGTTAAGTAAGTTTTGATTTCAATGATCCAATAATTATTAATTAAAAAATAAATTAAAATATAAGCACCTAACTACCATAAAAGCTACTAGTTACAATATCATAGTCCTCCAGAAACATGTTGATGTCAAAACATGATCAACTTCAATGGGATCGTTTAAAATGAGAAATTCAAATTTTAGTTGGTTGAGATAGACACTCCATAACAATCCTATATTTTCTTAGAAAATGCTCTCAAATAACACTATTATTGTAGGTGATATTAGATCATACTTCTCTATCCTTTTGTTGTCTTTTGAGGTGTTATAGATCAAACTCTTGAGGTGCGAGCACTTCGTTTCTGTGTTGTCCTTGCTATTGATTAATTGTGTTTATGCTTGTTATTGAGGGTAGTATTTTGCATAATGATATATTATCGTTTGAGTTTTTCGTTCATTAACAATTTATTTTGAGTTGTAGGGATATAATTATATCATACATTACTTCCTTTGCATAAATGTAAATACCCTAACAATGTCCTAACAAATTCAACTACACATACCCGAACATATAACTTGGAATTTTGAGATTAAATGAGTTCAATGAAATCCATTTATGATCTCACAAACTGGAACATTAATTTTAAAATCTTTAACTGCACACTAACATATGAGAACTTAGAGATATAGTTAACTAATGTTGAGGCCCAAAAAATCATAGGACAGGCCCATGCATATTTTAAAGCCCAATCGTTATCATGCTATAAAAATGGCCTAGCTGATGCACACATGCCATGCCAAGCAAGGCTAAAATTTGGCACGTGGGGAGGTGGTGGTACGGGTTTACCACTTTCACATGCAAACTTGTAAGAATTACAAGGCTTCACAAGCCCAAGCCTACCAAGCCCGCTGCACTGTCAAGCATTATCTAACGTAAAGCCCAAGCCACCGCAATATAACATAGCCCAAGTGTAAGCACGCAATAACACGCGATGCCAAGCAACTCCCTTTTAGCGTCAAATTACGCAACAAGCTTAAGTGGGCCCAAGCCACATACGTGCCTGGGGCTTGCTGAGCGGGTTGTGGTGTGGATGGTTACAAGGATCCATGAGGCCCATTAAAGGTTTAAGAGAATGCAGGTTTTGGGCTGCTTGGGAGCCCCAAAATCCAAGCCCATTTTCTTGAGCCCACTAAATGGGTAAGCAGAGAGAAAGAAAAGCCCAGCACCAGCACGTTCTGTGCGACCGGTCGCCAGGACTGGGCGACCGGTCGCTTTTGCACAGAATCGAAATTCCAAAACAACACAGCTGCAGCGACCGGTCGCTTGCACCTTACGACCGGTCGCTGGTCTCGATTTCCAGCTTCTTCTAATCTGCTTCAAAACGACCGGTCGCTCATCCCTTGTGACCGGTCGCTTCCCCCAACACCTACCCATATGTGCAGCACCTCTCCCATACGACACTAAACCAACCATACGACACCTAAACCTTATCCTCTCTCCCAAAAACCAACCACCCGGCACCTACATAGAATAAAGAAGCCTTGTCATCTCAACTGGGAGACAAGGGTGCATAGCCGGAGTAGCATGCGCGACCACCTCGATG